GTACACGTGGAAACAATAGTGCCCTCCCTCCGTGTAGGGCGCCCCACAGCGAAGGGCCAGCGTCTACTGGGATCGCTGTGACCACGACCGGGGACCTCTGCTGGAGAGCATGGCAGGGCACGGCAACCAAACGCTTGTTGAAACCTACACGCTCGAGCAGGATGAGCCCCGAAACTTTTTATGGCAGCGAAGGACAGTGCTGGAGGCTTCGCACAACCACCTTGCGCCCAGCTGGCAGCTTGGGAAAAACACTACGTGGGGGCCGGTGAGCCAGCTTTCCGTCCAGGGAACGGCTCTCTAGGTGTCCGCTGTGCTACCTCGTGCCCTTGGCATTTCGACTAGCCCTTTTTTTTTCCCCTGACACCCCCCCCCCACCTCAGCCCCGCCGCCCCTATTCAGCTCTGTATTGGCTATTCTGGGCGCCCTTGTGCCCTTCTCGGCCCTCCCTGGCTGTGAGCCAAGGCTGTGGCGTCCAGCGCCTGCACACCCCTCCTCCCCAACCGCTCCCTCTCTTCCCTTCCCCCCTTCCGCCCCCGGGCCCCCAGAGGAGCCGGGCGAGGGCGGGGGGGAGGGCGGGGAATGTGAGCCCGCCTTGGCCACGCCCTCCCCGGGCGGCTTTTTCTAGGGCCCCTCGGAGCGTCTGGATGCTGGCTGCTTCGCTCGCTTCCTTGGGTGCGCACAGCTCCAGCCCTGCTCTCCGCTCCGCTCCGGTCGCAGCGAGCGCTCCGCCCGCTCTGCTTCCGCCACGCCGCTCTCCGAGTTTCGGCCGCTGCCCGGGGAGCGCGCTCCCTCCTAGCCGCGGACCCTGGCTCCCCGCTCCTCGACCTGGTGGCGCGGTGCCCGCCACCCCGCGCCCTCTAACCTCGCTGTCTTGCAGGTTCCAGCCCTCCCGCCGGCCCAGGTTCCGTTCCCTCTCGCTTAGCTGGCGGGTGGGCGATCTTTCTCTCTGCTCCCTCCCCCTTTCTTTTCTTTTCTTTTACCCCCCCTTCTCCCCCCCCCCCCCCCCCGCTTGCTGGCCCGTTCGCTAGCTCTCAAACGCGGCGGAGCGACTTCGCAGGAAAATCCCAGAAACCTTTGCAAAAAGCTTACAATGAAATTTAAGAAGTTCTTCGATTTCGGCGCCATTTTCAAGTGCAGCCAGAGGTGACATAAGATTTTTTTTAAAAGGGACTTGCAGGCTCGCGATTTTCCTGACTGTAACGTCAGTTGTGTCCGACTGAAAAAAAAAAATCTCGTGCGGGATTCTGAGAAAGTTCTATGTCGCGCTGGGGTGGTGACATCGCGTTTGGGGCTGTGGGTGGGGGCGAAACAGATCTTTAAAGTGTTTAGCAAATTGAGTGCGGGCCGGGAAAATTCTTGGGAAACGGGGCTGGGTCGAGGAGAGAAAACTGAGTAAGGGGCGGCGACCGACTATCAGCCTCACCGGGGTCGGGAGTGACTGGTTTTAACCGAATACGGATGGAGGTTTCATAATTCTTATTTGCCAGCACTAAAATATGTCTTGAAAGGTAATGTGTGATTGATTTTGACATTGTCTCTCCGAAATGAAAATGTTCAAGGTTGTTTTCACTGTGGGAAATTTGACATTGAGAAACTTTGGCTTGAATGTGCCTGTATTCAGGGGGCGGGGGCGGGGGGGGAGGGAGTGACACGGCACCTACAGAATGAAAAAGACTTTGTAAAATAGAAGCGGAGAAAGAGACGTATTTGGCTCTAAAGTCGTTGGCGCAGTTCAGCAGGGGGGTGGGGCTGTTGCAACTAAAACGTTACCGATTCTTTGTGTATTGTGTCAGCAAGCGACCCTCTCCAGAATTGACAAGAGGCCTGTTTGTGCTAATTTTTCGTAAGTAAAATTTGCTCTCTGAGGAAATACGTGAACCGGGACAGGGAGGTGGCTCTTTAGGAACTTCAGTGGTTGAGGTTAAGTGCAAATCGCACATGAATTCGGTTCCAACAAGGTTACAAAACAGTCATGCCATTTCAAATGAACTGTGTTTTTTCGAAGACAACTCAAGAAATGTTCAACTGGAGGTGACTTTAGAGGTCACCTTATTTCTGTGAACATAAACTATCTGGGAGAAATGGGGGGGGGGGTTCCTAAAGTACAATTTAACATTTACTAAACATGTCCTCTTTTTCTTTTTAAGGGCAACCAACGGCGTGTTCCTCCATTACTTTCAAAGCTCAGTGTAAAGGTTGATTGTAAATTTTGTGATCAAAACAAAATGGAATTTAGCGGCATTGAATGCCCCCGATTTAGGGAGAAGGGCTATTACTAATGGCGTTTTTTATCCTTACAGAAAAATACGTTGGTTTTCCAAATGTTGTAATTAGCCTCATTAAAGTATGATGCACATTTTGTTAATAAATAGAACACTTCTGGTTTTGAAAATGTTAAAATTTTCAGATGAAACAAAAACAGTGAACAGAGCTGTGTACTTTAAATGTGTTTTTTGACTTTCAGAACTGTTCTGGTTTTGTCCTTGTGTTGTTGTTTTAACTTTCAGGTTTGTGATGGAAAGCTTCTGGGTGCTTTTTCCCCCCCCCTTATGCTTAATTGAGTGTTTTGCTGAAATGAAAAGGGAGTACATGTAACTTAGTGCTAATCGGTGTCCATTTTAAAAAGGAAAAGTAGTATTTAATGAGTTAATGATTAAGGGGTATGGCCAGTGTCGGCCATTTCGGGACATAAAAGAGTTTCTATGGAGCTGCTTGAGACAGGAAGTAGTAATTGACATCAAGCATAAAAGCTTTCTCATGTCTGTGTCAGCTATCAAAACATCAATTTATTTATGAATTTGAGTACCCAATTTAGCATGTAAATATCCAGGTATTCCTTCCTGCACAAATAGTTTGCTCTTATTCTTTGCCCTTAAGTGCAGTGTTTACGCATGAAAATACTGGGAGTGAAATAGAGAATATCTGATGTTCCTATCAGTCCATCCATATTTTGCCTGTATTTCCAATAAATGAGAAATCTTAGAAAACAGGGACAGTGAATGAGGCGTGCAATATGCAGCTGGACGACGGCTCAACAAGACTTGGAAGCTGTCAAGAGTGCTCCAGGTGCTCCAAGTGGCCCCAATTTATTTACTGTTATTATTCATGTACTTGTACAAGTTAACTTCTTTCCCATCCTGACTTCTATTTCGAACGCTGTGCTTTTCACTACTACACTTTCCATCCTCGAGGAAAAAAAAAAAATTGGGAGCCACACCCTCCAGTCCTCTTGGCAGATCCTGGATGTGAAGGGTCTAAGTTATTAGAAGTACACCCATTCGGAGAGAAGCGCCCAGAGTTCTGCTTCCTCGCCTGGGGTGGGGCGGGGCAGGGCTTATTTCCAATCTAGGAGTCTTTGTTTCAACCCCTCCCCACAGGTACTCGAGAGCGACCCTCCTTCGTTAACTGCAAGTGGGTACAGCAGCAATTCATGTTTTGAAGTGTTATGATTCCTTCAAAACGTGAGGCGCTGCTATATCCCCTTGTGGGAAAGGCAGAAGGTGGGAGTCTGCGGACACGCGTTCCCGTGACCACAAGCCAACTCCCTCCCCCCCCCACCCCACTCCTGCGCCTAGGCAGGCTCGGGAGCAGGTATGTGGGCAGCGAACTCCAGTGTGTCAGGGCCATCAGTGCCACTTTGCAGGGCTAAAATTCAGGGAGAGTAGCCCTGCCCCGCGGGGTGGTCGGCTGGAGAGTCCACTCTCAGCCGTGCCTTAGCAGCGGGAACAGTACTGCAGTGAGGTCGGTATCCTGGAGTATTGTTTCCGTTGCCAGGGTAAGCCTGAGGTTTCAGCACGCGCCCAGCCGCCAGGTAAAGTATCAGTCTGTCCACACCGTGCCCGCTCGGGCGCTAGCTCACCGTAGAGCAACTAGACTTCGTCAAAGGTCCCCAGCGGCGAAGTGAAGGGAGGGTGGGGAGAGGTGAGGATTTAAAAAGGAAGCGAGCAGAGGTGCAGCCCCCTGAAGTCTCTGGGGTTCCTGCTAAACAGGAGACCCCCAGCTCCATCCTCCCGGGGAGGGGGGGTGGAGAGGATTTGGGAGATCCGAGAAGTAGTGAGTGAGCCCTCTCTTGCCCCACCAAAGTGTGGCGCGCAGCCCCGTCCCTCCCCCCACCCCCACCTGGAGCCCTGGAGGCTGCGGCGCTTAGGGACCCAGCTTCTAAAGGCGCTGACCTGCCTGCTGGGAATTTGAGGCCTGGCAGGAGCGCAGGGATCCTAAGGGAGTAGCTCCACATTGAGGCTTGGCCTTGCTAGCGGCCGTTTGTCCTTACCCCCCGCCCCCCCCCCCCGTCTCAATCTGGTCCTATAGTCCCACCAGGGAGGCGCTGCCTCCGAGGCAGCTTTAACCCTAGTGGTAGGGACTTGGGGACTCAGGCGTCCTCCTCGCCTCCCAAAATCACCTTCGCCCCTTGCTGGGCTGCGCTTTTGACACTGTGTGGGTTTTTTTCCTTTCCCCTTGCTAGTCACTTGATTATTATTGGCCAACACAAAGATGAATGTGGGGTCTTTTACATTTTTTTTTCCTTTTGTCATTCTTAAGGACAAAAGAAAACAGACCACATACGTCTTAGCTTAAATAGTGTTGAACTGGGCTTCGCGGTGATTCAGTGTGGTCCCCAGAAGCGTTTCAGTTTGGGGAGACCTTGGGTTCCTGGTACTCCAGGAGTCAGGTTCTAGCTGCCCAAATCGCCTGCTCTCCTAGACTACCTTGCGTGGAGGCAGTGCTTGGGAGTTGCGTGGGTCCCTTCCAGCTGCCATAGACTGTAGGGGCTCCTAGGGGCCCCTCGCCCGGCAGCCTTTGCGGTTCCCGGGCTCCCGTAGCTACCTAGGCGCGCACGGGATACTCCCGCCCCGCCAGCCCAGGGCCCCTCAGGCCCGCAATCTCCAGATGCAAACGGCGAACAGGTTCTTGCAACTGGCTTGCATTTACAGCTGGGGATTGGGAGGGGCACCTCGAGCCTCGAGCCTCGTGCCTTTCAGCGGCTTCACATCTCCTTTTCTCCCTGTCCCTCCCGATCCCCCCTAGAGCCAGGAGGTCCCGTGTCACCCAGCGCTGGAGGACCCACAGCCCACACCACCAAGCTCCCTATTGTGGGCGCCTGCACTACCCAGGTGAGGCGCCACTGCTGGGGACCCAAAAGGGTTGGGTGGGCACAGACTGCATGGGAGCCCCCTTCCTGACTTAAAATGTTTTTTTTTTTTTTCTGGTTTTCTTTACATGCTCCAAGTTGCTGTTTGCCTGCCTAGATTTTCCTCCAAGAACCAAAATGTGAATAAAGTGATATTTTAGCCAAACATTTCTGTGTCAGTTAAGAAGATGGCAATTCGTTCCAGACTGTAAATTCTCTTTAACAACTCCCTAAGGTACTTTTTCAAAAATTTTTTTCATCATTGCTAAACGTACATCAGAATGTGTGGGAGACTTGTATAAAGTGAATCAACTGAGAATTGGCTGTGAACTGACCCAGCCAACCTCAACCCATCCACCTTTTCATTATTTTTTGCTCCCCTCCCCCCCCCACACACACATGTTATTTGTTAGTGTGGAACTGTGTGCACGTGGCTTTATATAAAGTTTATTAGATGCAGCCCTTAAGAGAAGCTTAGTCTAGCTCTAAATAGAAAATTCAACATTTCTGTAAATTGTGAGACAAGATGTACAGGTTGCTGTGATACGCTAAAATTGAATATAATTTTTTAAAACTTTCAATTGCAGGAGTATTTTTTGGAAAGCACCCAGTTTCTCCAGTTCGCAGTGCTGACCCTCGGCCCCCCAAGAAGAGACAATACACCAACTCGCGTGGCGGGGTTCTGGACACGGAAGACTCCTGTCTCAAACACAAGCATCCCACCAAGGCTGTCATTTGTGTGCATATTTAACTCACTAGGTATTGCAAACCACCCCAAGCATTCCAGAAAAGGGGGTCAAATAGAATGCATCACTCAATGTATTCATATACATCCTTTAAAAATGTTATTGTAAAATGTTTTATGATGTGTAAGTCAAAAGAATCTCTCCCACTCCCTCTTTTTGCTTGTCACTCCTCCATACCCAATGCTGTTCTGTCCTGCCAAAGAAATCAGTTGTGAAGGGAACCTCAATGGAATTGGACAGATGTATGTTGCTGTTACTTGGAAAACTAGACGTCAATAACCAGGGCCACAGAAAGACACAGTGGTGGTAACTCTGTAAAAGTTTATGTGCACATACAAAGACAAAAGTAGAATTCCAAACAGGAAAAGAGCTTGCTAGCCTCCAGTGCTGGGAGATTGAATGATTGTATGCTGCTTTGATTTCCGTTAACACAGGCAACTGTCCAATTAAAAAAAATAAGAACTCTGCAGTGCAAATTATTTTGCTGATTTTTTTTTTTTTTTTTGAAGAACACCACACCTATCATCTAGCTCTTCAAGGCAGATGATGAGGCGGGGTGGGCGGGACGGGCCTGGGATTGCTTCCTGAACCCCAGACTAGGGAGCTCAGGGCTATACCTGGAGCAAACATGATCCTGCAAGGTGGGAGTTAATTACGGGCAGCTTTCTTGAGAGGCTGCAAGGTGCAAATAAGAATAGGCTCACAAAGCCTGTTTGGGGAAAATCAAAAATTTATTTTCCTTTGGCCTCCAGTGTTGCTTATTCTCATGACCTTAGGACTGTATATATGCGGTTGTATTTAGATTTATCACACTCCTCTTAAAACATGCACACCAATTGTATAAATGGGTATCTCCCTGCCCCAGCCCAGCCCCATACCCCACTCATTCCCCACATTAGTAAATGAGCAGGGATCTGCTAGCTAGCTCTTGCATGATATTTTACCAATCTGCTACCTTAGCCTCCCCTTCTGTCCTCTGCAATTGATCCCTTAGGCAAGGTCAAAAAGATTTAAAAACACAGCAAGGATGGTAAACCAAGCCGTTAAGGGAGGAGCCCTGGAAGACTTCCACTTCAATTCCTTTAGCCTTGGAACACTCCCCTGCGCAGACTGAGTGTCTAAGCCACTGGCGGGGGAGCTGGGGGAGGTGGCAGAGTGGGGGAGCCCAGATCGTAGGTGTATGGCCCACTGAAGAGTCTTGCCCGCCCTGTGTCTTCCAAGGCAGCTGCTTCCCACCCCACCCCCACCTTCTAGCCAGACCAGACCTTTGCAAGCCCTGGCCACAGAGCTGCAATCATGGGAGGCGTAACAATCCCAGCATCTTGTCTTTATAAGGGGCTTTTACATACTTTTCCAGATGCTCTCCGGTTCGTTATTTTGAACCCCCTTGAAAGATAAGTACAGCCAGGCAGTCAAAAAAGAAAAACAATTACAGGCGAGGAAACAGGCTCCTGCAGGGAAAAGATAATGTCTGCCTTTTTTCCCTGGGACCTGTGTTTCCAGAACTCTCCGGCTTCTTACCTCATTACCTGTTCAGCAGCAGCAGCAGCTACTAAGGAATAAGCAGGGTAGGGAATGAAGTGGAACTAGTAGGTTTGGTTTAGAGACCCTCCTAGTGAAACTGATCAGTCTTATGGTGGCCTTTTGCTTGCTGAGTGCACACCTCCTAGGGAAGAGCCAGTATTTCTGTAAAGGAGTGACTGTGGGTTACCTATCTGAGTACAAGTCGCTGTGCACCCAAAAAACCGTGTATGCATAGTTTTGTGTCAGTGTGCAGGTAAGAGGCTAGCAGGAAATATATGGGAACACTACAGTGGTTATCTCTAAGTTGTAGTGCAGTAACATGGTCAAAGAAAGATGCTAAACTATTTTTGCGATGTGTTCCTAATATGTAATGTAACTGTATTGGGGACACTTGGCATTCATAGTTTTGTATCAATAATGCGGACAAAAGGCTGGGAGGAAGAACACCCAAAGTCTAAAGGTGGTTGTATGGTTGTGTCTGAGCTATAACACCATAGGGGAATAGAGAAAGATGCTAAACTGTTTTTGCGATATGTTCCTAATATGCACTATAACTATATTGGGAACATTTTGCATGCATAGTTTTGTGTCAATGTACGGACAGAATGATGGAAGAAATAGGCCAACGACCCAAGTGTAGGTATCTGGATTTTGCTTTTGTGATAAATTCCTGACCGTGTGATATGAGTGCACTGGAGACATTTTGCATGCATAGTTTGTGTCAAGGTGTACGAAGGAATATAACTAAACCTTAATAGTCATTCCTGGTATTGTAGTGTTACAGCGGATTGTTTTTTTCTGCATACTTTTATGTATTTCCCAAGCAATACTTGTATAAACCACAAAATGCATTGCTTCTGTAGAAATAATAAAACTTATTTTCAAAAAGAGCTTGCTGTTTTTATATTTAAAAATATGTATGAACCCCTGACCTGAGGTGGGGGAGGAGGGAAGACTTCCTATGTGGGTAGCTATGGGCCTAGAATCTATTTCAGAGGGATTTGGGAAAGCAGCTTGCACCTTCAGATGGATCCACAGTGCAACATGTATTTTCATTTGCTCTTGGCAAATGAAAAAGAAAGTATAATTTTAAAATGTAATCATGACACAGTAATTGCAATATTGCTAAACAGGCTGCTATCTGCTGTCTAATCAAGGTAACACTTTAGGAAGTATAGAAAAGTTGAAACAGGCTCCTTTTCCTGCAAGAGCAGTTCAGGAGGGCAGCACTCAGATGCTTGCCCAGGGCCTGAAGACACGCTGGCCTGTTTGAGACATGCCCGAATCAGGATGGCACCTCATGGAAAGCCCACTTGCCTTGAGCTAACTTTTTTGTGAATGTAGACAAAGATCCCTGACGTTTTCCACAAATTCTGCCGAGTTCATGACGACCTAGGTATTGGAGAACACGTGTGACAGCCCAAGTGAGGTGTCCCCTATTCCAACCAGATACAGTTCACCCCATCGAGTCCTGAGGCACCAACTCAGGGTCTCGGTGTCACTTCACTGCTGCACTGAACAGACATCACCCTGAAGGAGGAGCTAGGGTCCCGCCCCACCTCCTTTCGGAAACAGCCTGGGAAATTGTTCTTGCCCTACAGAATACTTCAGCAAATCCATGCTCCATGCTACTCGCAAAATACAGCCACGGTACTCCTTAAAGAAGCTGCAGTTAGGAAGCCGAAATGCACACCTGCCAACATCCTTTGAGACCATTCTTCCGATTTTCCCAGTGCTGAGCCCCTGTCCTGCCAGATACGTCCTCTTGATTCAATGCGTGATGCTCACAAACATGTTGCCCCATGGCACTTTCTCGGTTAGAGTGTATTCGATGGGTACCTTGCCCTGTCCTTGTCACCCAGGTGAAAGGCAGATGGGAGAAAAGCAGGGGGTAAGCCGATACTGAGTCATTGAGGCCATAGACACACAAATCCTTCCCTGTGCTTGCCACCGAGCCCGGAGATCTACAGATTTGCTGAAGCTGTGTGTTTGACCTTCACGTGAGCCTGGGCAATCACGCAAAGTACCTGATGGCTAAGTGATGGCTAAGTGAGTCACCCAAGTGGTCTCCTCCATGCCAGGCCTCCCCTGGCCCCTCAGACACACAATATGAAATAGAGTGGCAGGGATCCTGTCCTAAATGGGAGGACAACTTGAGAAACAGAGACACAGAAATGGGAAGGAAACAGGCCTGATTTGAGCACTGCTATTAAATATCCTAAAAAAAAAAAAAAAGATTTATGTCAGATATATACAGAGAGGAGCAGAGACAGAGAGGAAGATTTTCTGTCCGATGGTTCACTCCCCAAGCGGCCGCAATGCCTGGAGCTGCGCCAATTCGAAACCAGAAGCCAGGAGCTCTTCCAGGTCTCCCACATGGGTGTAGGGTCCCAAGGCTTTGGGCCGTCCTCGACTGCTTTCCCAAGCCACAAGCAGGAAGCTGGATGGGATTAGAGCCGGTGCCCATATGGGATCCTGGTGCATTCAAGGCGAGGATTTTAGCCACTAGGCCACCGCACTGGACCCTGCTCTTAAATACCTTTTACCAATGAAAATAGCTTCAGCCCCAGATTTGGAGAGTCAAGAAAAGGCCCTCGATTTTGGCCAGCAAAGATAACACACTGCTTACATGGGTGTATGCCAAGAAGGGTGTCAAGAAGAGGTGGCAGGCACACAAGGAACCAGGAGCATTGCTTTGCTGCTAGGGTCAGGCCAACCCTTCGTTCCGACAAAGAGGAAACTGAGTCACAGAAGGAGTAACTGGCACAGAGGTCCTGCAGAGAATTGATGGCGATGTTAGAACTTGAATCTTGGTGGTTGGCTCTTTCCATTCAAGTACAGAAGGGCTAAAGGACCACGGCAGTGACTCAGAGAGACTGGGAAGAGTATGGGGTTTGAGGAACCCCTTCTGAGGCGAGTGAGGCCAGGAGAGGTGGAGAAGGCCAGGACAAGGGCAGGGGAGGGAAGCACAGCACGGGGGCGAGCAGGTGCAACATGGTGTGTCACCACGCAAGGCCAGACTTCAACTGGAGGAAACTGTTCAATCTTGCTTCTTGGGGTCAGTCACATGGCACAGCAAGTTAAACCTCTGCCTGTATCATCAGCAAAGTCCTACAGGAGCACCGGTTTGAGTCCCAGCTTCTCCACTTCTGATCCAGCTCCCTGATAATGACCTGAGAATGGCAGTGGAGGAAGGCCCAAGTGTTTCAGCCCCTACCACTGATTTGAGAAATCTAGATGGAGTTCTAAGGTCCTGACCCAAAGTCAACCACTGTGGCAATTTGAAGAAAAAGCCAGTAGATAGAAGATCTATATGTCTGTTTCTGTCTTACCCTCTCTCTGTAACTCTGTCTTTCACACAAAGAGGTCTTTTTTTTTTTTAAAGTTTGTGGACAATGCAATGAAAAGAGAAGTTTATTATAAAAACAAATCTTGCCATGCGACCCCTTGAAGGTAAAAAGACAGTGTCCCCTAGGGCTGCAAACAGGCACAAGCCACATACACACAGCACAACTTAGGAGAGCACAGCTTTGATTCAATAGTGAGGAAGTTGCGGTGTTGTTTTGTTTATAAAAAACTACACAGATTTATAAAGATAAAACTGAGATCTGAAAATCATTTCAAGTTTGTTGCTCGTTTGGGCTGTCCCGGGCCTCCCACTTCAGCTTCATTCCAAGGGAGATTTATGCACTCGTCTCTAGACATTCGGCTTTTTGTTTGTTTTTCCTACCAGTACCCGGGCCTCCTTGTCTGCTTCCTGGCTCTCTCTTTTGGTGAACTGCTCCTCCTCCACCTCAATCCTGGAGTTCTGGAAGAGCTGCTGATCACAGGAAACTTCTGTGCCCCCCACCAGGCTCTTGACCCAGGCCAGGCCAATCACACTGTCCCATCCTCCTCTCTACATTGATGGCCCTAGAGAGAGCTCATGTGACCCCTGACTGACTAATCAGAGCAC